TAAACTTTGTCGTCACCATTCAAGCCATTGAGAATGTAGTTTTGGTGGAATTGTGTTTCTGGCGACTGTTATCCCTTTTAATGTCGGCACTAAGACTTCCATTTTAGGTGGCTGTTGAATATATGCCTTGGGCAACTCTAGTTTGTCTGGGATTGCACATGACCTCAATATATTCTGTTGCTAATCCGGCTTTCACGCACGTCACTCAGGCGTGTGTGTCAAGTTGGCTGCAGGCAAGTGTTCGGTGCACTCACTTTACCAGTTTCATTGTTTTCACTTCTGATGGTCCAATTGACAAAGCAGTGTTGAGTACAATAACTGTCTGTCTAAAGATTTTCTTATGGATGTCATCTAGCTAACATTTTCATTGTCAGGTGCATGTGGATTTCATGCGAATTGGAAGAAAAAGCTGTAATTATTTGGTGAGATTAGTAAAAGTAGGTTTTAGGTCTGAATTCATTTAGAATTTTTCATTGAATGAGTACTCAAGCTAACCGTGAAGAAGCTTTGGAAAATTATGCAGGATGAAAAGTTTTGCCTTTATTACAGGAGCAAGTGGCTGACATCAGTCGTTCACTGCGAAGCCGCATTCCCGCTCTTTCACGAGTACTCCCACCGCGCATGAATCCGATCTCTCTGGTCGGTTCCGTAATCGTGGTAGTTATTCTGATTACTTACATCATGGTGGATCCCACGACCGAGACCGGCACCTTCCCCGATACCGTCGCAGCAATCGTTATATCTCTCCTTCTTTTCAACACTATGGTTCCCATGGCCGTATTCAGGCACGTCACTGGCTTTCAGAATTTCCCGACAACACTCCATTGCCTTATTTGTGTCATCCGATTTCAGTGGAAAGATTTTGTTGCAGACGACGCCGCCGTATTTGGTGACAGCTTTAGATAAGGCTCTCCGGGAGGCCTCCACACTAGAGGGAGTGCTAGAACTACGAAATGAGCACTTTTGGACGATCGGATTTGGTGTGCTCGTGGGAAGCCTCTACGTGCGTGTTAGACGCGATGCTTCAGACCAGCTCGTTCTAGCTCATGTTACAAAACGTCTTCATCCTCTCGTTAAGCACCTCACCATCCAGGTACACTCACTCATGCTTTGTCTTCAACTTGGCTTCGCAACGAATGCACGAAGAACTTGTCCTAAGAGAAATAGCTTAAGAATTCACACTGTTCTATCCGTCCAGATGATTGACATTCTAAAGAACCGTTCATTCCTTTAGGTAATAAAGGAAGACTGGGTGCGACCGATAGCAACGTCGAGCTTCGACTGGACCCAGTCAACTGGCTACCCCCAGTGCGCGACGCTCCCGCATACTCCCACGACCCGCGCGCACTAACACTCCTCTGCCTTACCACTACACAGGTGCTTTTTGTTTTAGTTCTGTTCCCTTATGAAAAAAATTTCCGCGTCTTTTTTCTTAATTATGCTTTCTGATTTTGGCCAACACTATCAGATATAATGCAGATGGGTGATAGGCGTTCATGATTGCAGCGCTGATCGACTGAAATGTAACCCTAGCAAACAGTTTCAAAGTGAAGATCAAAAGGCAGTGACTTGTGCCTCGGTGTTGGCGCAAAAGACATATTCTACCAAAAGATATTTGCAGTGCACAACAGCTATTTTTTATGAAAAAGATCCCCAATGGCTGGAATTGTGACTTTAGTTGCAATTGGGTCTACCACTTGGGGTGCCGCGACCTTGAGTGAGGTCTGCGAGGGTTCTGCTGGGGCGACTGTGTCCCATTTAGACCTCTTCCTTACCTCTAAAGCAGAAATTCCATGGATGAGTCAGATTAAGCAGGTATGGGGCACTATGCGCCCAAAGTCACTCTTTACCGGATCGTTTTTCGACGGCAGTGAGTCCTGTAGCGTGAGTAGCGGTTGCAGAAGTTGCGGCAATGTTAGTCCCATTGGCAGCGCGTTGCAGCCCTGAAACTGTGTTAACGGCCACTGCACTACTGGTTTCTGCCTTTCGGCGCTCCTTTTGTAGCTTGTCTAGGCGCTCAACTTCACGATTTTGTATCTCGGCCAGTTTATCGTAAAAAGAGTTCGCGTCCCAACGGTAAGGGTTGAAGACATCCTGTTATTTAACACAGAGAATGCTACAACATTAAGCAATGTGAAACTTGGTTGGACGGATGGGGTCAGATAGCGTGAATTGTGTTGTTCAAGGTAGAGCGTTGGAATTAACAAGCAAACAAAGCAGTTAATGGCAAATACTTACCGAAGAAAAGTTTGTCCCTTTTTCGTCTATGTCCAAAAAACTGATCAGCTTTTTGTAGATGCTATAACGTACGAAAAGGGGTATGATTGAGACAAAGTTGAAACAAATTTGGGTGTAAATAACAAACCAAGACTAAAACCCCAAACAAATCCCAAAAGATTGCAGTCGGGGACAGATATCGATCAGGCGCCGCAGAGTTGTAGCCACAAACCTGGGATTCCTGAAGGCCTTATTATCCTGGATAACGCTATTAGGATCAAATCCGATATCATGCTGCATTCGACGCAAAGTGTTTTCCACAGTGTTCTGCAACTGCATACTACATAGTTCCTTAGGTTCCGGCGGGAGGGATACTTCCATTGATTGATTGTGCCCGCTGACATTTGAAGGCGAGGAGTGGTGCGATGACTGGTCCTTCTGGGGGAGGTCCTCTGAACCACCGTGAAGTTCCTCGAGTAGTGTCGACGGAGAATCGTGCGCAGCCTCTATATGAGCCGAACTGAGAACGGTCAGCGGACCGCCATCAGAAGCAACAAAATGGAAGGCACCACTAATGACGCTGCTGTCGTTGTTATTGGAGTAGCTATCAGCAGAAGAGCCACCGCGGTTCAATTCCGAGCTTTCACTTTCTGAACCACTGTCACCGTCATCATTGTCTAGAGCGTAGGAAACAAGATTTATTCCACTGCCCTTTCCCGAACGAAAGCGTTTTTTAGGCTGAAGATCCAGTGATTTTTGCTCATCAGGGTTATTACCAGCCTTTCGTTTCTGGGATCCTAATGAAGACTCATTTTCATCGTCTGAGGTCACGAAAGTAGGAGAATTCTCAAGAGACATTTTGTTATTTCCTGTTTCTATTTGCGGAGCCTGCAATTAAAAGGGAACCACACGGAGGATATCGCAAAATACAATAAGTGGTTACTAGTAATCTATTTAGAAGTCGTCAAAACCGTACAACTAAAGAAGCAACGACGCATTATTCAAGGGAAAAGTTTCAAGACCAAATCGTTGTCAGTTGTTTTACTTATGAGTATAATGACAAATGAACCTCGGTTCCTCTGAAAAAATGCAGGGTCATAACAGACAACACTACTGTTTAAGGCTGGCTCACTAAACACAGTAGTTCGGTAAATTCAAGAAGTGTCTTGCAGAAAATTGATGCACGTATACAATGTAAATGCATAGCATAGGTGGATGGCGTTTTAAATCCACAAAGCAAACATGGAAAACCAAAAAAAGGACTATTTTATCAAAGTATGAAATGCATTTGTGTCTCCGTCGCAAACATCCAATGCGGTCACACACAACTTCAAAAAACGACAAGCTGCAAACCGCTTTTGTAAAGTCTCTACGATTTTTCATTCATTAAAAGTGCTTGAAAATATATCTAAGTATGAAGAATTAGGCACATGCTAGCAATTACAGCGTTGTGTTTAATTGCCCATATAATAACCTTGGTAAGAGTTACCAAACTTTACCTTCTGGTTATTTCCACTTATGTTGCTCGAATTCACGTTATTAGTCTGGGTATTCCAAGCCCCGTTTCCTACCACTTACTATCACATTTTATACCTACATTGGGTGGTTTTCTTGCAGTTCGTTAAATTGTAAAATCTTTGCTAGAAATAAACATTAAATTCCACCAAATTCTGTAACTCGCAAATTCATACAATAACACTTCGAGACCCCATTGGCCAGAAAAAGTAATGAAGTCGGAAAAACTACTTCTATTCTGGTAAAATGCGAGAATGTGCTGCATTGATTCGAGGGTCAGCTCACGCAATTAGGAACGAACGTAGTACCACACAACTTCCTTTACGATTATGCTATGTTCCAGGCACTCCACTTAGTACATTTCTGAGGCCAATCTTTAGCCATACTTCCATTGAGAAACTCCACCCAACTTGATCAACATCTGCAATCGTACCTGGACTTACATTTGGTACGGTAGCAACAAGTGTAGAGAGAATTACCTAACGGCTATCAATTGTGTTTACGTCTAGACTTGATCCTGTCTTCCCTGTAAAGCATCTGTTTTGGCCCAGCACACCAAGCCCAGTCCCGTACATGAGAAGGTCAGGAGTAATGTCAGCGCCAACATCTTCACGCATGTGTAGTAGAGTTTCGATACCGAACTTTTACAAATGATTCATGACGACATCGCCTCGGTTGTTAATATCACATCTGCAGGAGAGGGTGATGTAGCGTCCCGAGGCTCCAAATGGGGTAGTAGAAGGCATAAGTGAGGTTGAATACATGTA